TACAAAAAAAAATGAAACTTTGGTTCCTCTCTACAAAGGACAGTTTTCATGGCCAAATTTACCATTTTTTTAGTTGCTTTCTGGTACATCTTTCTGTCATTTACAAAAAAAAAAAATGAAACTTTGGTTCCTCTCTACAAAGGGCAATTTTCATGGCCAAAAATTTGCCATTTTTTTTACCAATTAGCTATTTTCTGGTAAGAAGACACCTTCTATCACTAAAGGACAGTTTGGCTCTGCAAGTAGGTATTGTCCTTTAGTGAGAATGGTAATGTTCTACTGTATTCAAATAAAAATAAATGAAAAGTTGAGTGAATATCATGGCCTACCTGCTATACAGGTAATTAATTCATCCAGGGAACACTGCCAACCCCAATATAAGATGGGGTAAAATCCATAGAAAGAAGTTAGTTAAGTGGTCATAATAGGGTTTTGTACAACCTAAACTTTAGGTTGTGACAGTTCTTTCTCTCCTAACACCATCCCAATGTCTCCAAGAGAATCCCTAAAGGGCTAGAGTGTGATAGTAGAAAAGTAGAGTGCTATCTCGAGTTTTATTCCAAAGAGGAACAAGAAAAACCTGCACTAGCTGAACAATGGATCCATCCACCTGACTGGTACTAAATATGACCTTACAAAATATTATTCAATGATGAATGAATGAGTTTGTTTGTTTGCAGCTGCTGAGATTCCACACAATAAATCTATACATAGCACACACAAGGCTGATTAGCAATAAATTTAAAACAAAAAAAAAAAATGTGAGAATTTTTAGAAAGGTATATATGACTAGCATTTTGAAAGCCAAAAAAAATGTGACATAAATAAGTACACAACGACGACAACAATGGAGAAGAAAAATTAAAAAAAAAAGAGAGAGATGAGTTTGTGGTGAGACTTTACAAAGAGATTGTACACAGGGAGGAAGATGATGCAGAGGGACAAGGAGGATTACGACCATCAAACAAGGGTTAATACTGATAGAAGCATCATCTACTCTGGATAACACAAAGGTTCCAAACTCAAAACTTGAGCACTTTACAGAGAAAGAAGTACAAATCTTATAAAACCATGGTCCTACAAAATACCTCTCATGCTTCTTAAAAAATCCAAGACTCTTTAGTGAAAAAAATGAAGGAAGAAAAAAAGAGAGAAAAATGATAAAAAAGAGATATTGAGGCATATATATATATAGGTATATATAGAGATTAATATATGTTCATATAAATCATGTGTATATAATAGTAATCTTTTTTTTTTTTCTTTCGTAGAAAATAAAAATTAATTAGATGTGTACCATTTGGATATATCTCGTTTTGTTTTAAAATAGAGTCATCTATAATATAGATATAAGCTTTGCTCCAAAATAGCTAAAGATAAAAATCTAAATTGCTCTTTGCTATAAAAATAGGTCGTCATTATCTTGAGGTTTGCAATGGTGCCAGCGACTAGCTGACAACAGACAGAGAGTCAAGCCTTCTTGGCCAGGGGCATCACCGGGCCGCTGAACTGGGGCGAGAAGCCAGCCTCCTCCTCCTCTCCCCGGATGACAAAACACAGGATGACAGCGAAGATAAGCCCCAGACCCTGGACAGCAGGGTGAATTAGAGCTGCTTTCACCATTTCAAAACAATGAATTTAGGGGCATAAAAAAAAGAGGAGGGGGAGTAGTAACAAGATCGCTAAAAAACCTGGGTTCAGCTGGCCATGCTGATAGTACCCTGTAAGGGCTCCTGATCCAGGGATACAGGTGAGTGTACTCCATGCGACTGCACATGGTGTCTGTTCCCCATGTCAGAGGCGGCCATTTCATATTGGAGCTAGTGATAAAGCACAATTTGGATTATAGATTATAATAAAAGAAAATAAGACCTAAACCAAATAATTTATTAGTGTGTGATGTTTCGGTAACAGCTTTGTCACCATCATCAGACAAATCCCTCATTTATTCTTTTGTCTGATGATGGTGACAATGTTGTTGCCGAAACGTCACACACTAATAAATTATTTGGATTAGGTCTTATTTTCTTTTAATTTTGGAGCTAAGTCGGTCAGCCACTAAGTAGTGCTCCCAGTCTTAATGACAAAGGCAGACACATTCTACTTCACCCAGTCAATATAGAGCTCTACAGGCTTGATATGATTGAGTGGAGATAAGAAAGAAGAAGACGTTCTATTTTGTTTGTCACATGTTTTACAAGGTTGTCCCAAAAGTTCATAAACACTTACAAAAAATTGAAATACCAATATTATTTGCCGTTATGTATAATGTCTTTGTATTATGTATAAAGTAATTATATTATGTATTATTATGTATTGCCCCTAAATAATATTATCCACCAAATAATAATAAAAACACAAACTTTTGGAACAACTTTATATATACATTTTTACACATTATACTTTTATTGAATAGACATATTTAAATATTGAAATAGAAAAAAAAAAGCAAATGGCTTCCAAAATAAAGAAAGAAAAAAAAAGCAAAGAAAGGCATTCTGAAAAGCAAAAAACTATTACTAGAAAAAAGTCATTACCAAAGCTTTTCAAAGTGAAACAACACAGGAAAACTTTCAGAACATGTCCATTAAAGTCCACCTCCCCTGAGTGTTTGTAACCTAAAAACATGGCTAACCCAGTTTCTCCTGGAGATGGTCTCTCAACAGTCTTGGTTGAAAGATTCCTCTATGAGAATCTCCAATAAGAGACCACCACCTGCAGGAGAGACTGACTATATTCTCTCATGAGAGGCTCTACTGTATAAAGAAAGCTACTCTGAGCACAAAAAATTAACTGGTGGGAAACTTTTTACACATAAGAATACACCAAAAATTCAAATAGAAATAATTTCTATATACATTTTAGTAACATTATTATCATCTCCAGACAAAAGTACTAAATGTGAAAACATGTTTGAATTATAGTAGACTCAGTCACACAGAACTTTTGCCGCAAGATGTTGTTGTTTCTTATCCCCTTGTGTAAAGATTACACGAATTCCACGAATTGATGCTCCTCGAGCTATTTTATGATAAGCAGTGGCCTCTCCCAAAGGTCCTGTTTAGTGCATCTAATTCAAGCCAAAATGTGTTCTGGAGCTGCAGATGCCAAGCTACATTTTGGACAAGCGGGGTAGATTTTGCCAACTCAAGTGTTGGCCACAAGATGTTTCCAATGCTGAAATGTATATTGATGCTTTGCCTTGTAAAAAGGATCCTATAGAGAGCAGCACAATAGTTGGACTACTCTTCTTTCTTATCTCCACTCAATCACATATTAGAGTATAAAGCTTGTAGAACTTGTTGGTGATGAGTACAGCTCATCAATGGATGAGTCAATACAGTCAATGATGTGGTCTGCTGGTTGACACATAGTACATAGTGGGAAAACCATTACTGAACCATCACCATGCTGATGTAAACTGATGCTGCATCGTTGGCTGCAAATTTGAAATATTTTTAACACACACTACTGTTCTTATATATACAACAACAACAAAAGACTTTATTAAGACCTTTCAGCCTTGTAAAGATTCTCCAAGTAGAAATGTAGGGAACATGCAGGAGCAACAGAACTGTTCTTATATAAACACAAGGTAATAAGACTAAATCCGAATAGTTTACCTTGTGTTTATAATCTACTAGCCGAATGACCCGGGCAACGCCCGTGTTTTACCCAATTGAATGTTTTGATTCAAATACTATTTGTTACAATTATAAATTGGCACCTTAAATAATTGCATATGTTAGTTAATAACTATTGCCTATGTGCTTTATCTGTCTATGTACTGTTGGCTTCCGTAGGCGTCTCTTACTTTGGTTATTATCTAATATATGCATTTATTTAGGAGGCGACCCGCTCCAACACAATAGTTACAAAGACGAAATAGCGAGTGGGGGGGAGGGGCATGATGGGGGGGGGGCAAAGGTGGCGTGACCGTAGCCAACCAATAGGAGGGCGCCATTCCAAAAAAAAAGCAAACGGTGACAGAGTTGATTGATTAGGAGATGAAGAATGACGCTAGTAACTGTATATAGAATAATCCAAATTGTGCCTTATCTGTTCTTATATATATTGTAGCAAAGTATTATTTTTTTAAACATATTTTTTATATTTATACTTTGCTACTCTACAAACTTACCCCTCATTGCTTATCTTGCATTTTTAGAAATGTTGATTTTGTTCTGGCCTTAAAATAAATTGCTATGTCATCCTGAAGTTTATCTTTCCTAATTTTCTATGTGACAGAGATGCTGGGTAAATAAGTAAAGAAGACAAACTGAAGATCGCTGAGAAGGCCTTGGGTGCGGTGATCTACATTTTTCAGCGACTGTCTTCAGGATTCCACCGCCCTGTCAAAGTCAAGACTTCCTTACGATGTCCCTATTGATGATACGACGCTGAAGCCGCTCTTCACACTGCAAAAGAAAAGATTCCAAGCTACTAGGGACAAAGTTCCAAGATGCTGAGGGAATCCTTGGCAGAAGCACATCAGATCCATGTCAGTATCTCTTATTTGCAAGCTGTGGGTCACAGCTCCCATTATAGGAAAGGAGCTATGTAGCAAAGTTTTTATTATTTTTAAACAGATTATCAAATTTGACATATTTATATTTTGCTACTCTGCAAACTTCCCTCATTGCTTATCTTGTATTTTATGTCTGTTGAGTTTGTACTTGTGCCTTAAATAAATTGCTGTGTCAACCTGAAGTTTGTCTTTCCTCATTTTCTACCTGACAGTATAATTAATTAAAAGTCATTTCGACATACCTCTTACACTCTTAATAAATAAAAATCAGAGAGTGTGGCCATGGCCTGCGTATAAGGTGTGTATAGAAAAAATGTTTTTTATTAATTATATATATTTAATTTATAATACAATATTTTGTTCAAAAGGAATATTTGCGGTAAAATTGTCAAATGTTGTTTTACAATATCATAAGCCACATTATATTGTATTATAAATTACTTTATATAATATTTACGAACGAAAAAATATGTCCAGGGTAGCCTAGTGGACATGGCATCTGCCCGGTAAGCTGTGGGTTCGATTCCCATCCCTGGACACTTTATTTTTCCGTTTATCATTACTCTTCACAATTCATCCCTAAGGTTAAGAAATAGTCAATATTTCTCCTTAAAATAAATCAAGATTTTTGGTTCAAAAGAAACATTTGCGGTAAAATTGTCAAACGCCGTTCTACATATATATTTTAAATAAAAGAGATTAAAAATATCTCTGGTTTTCAGCCCCCATAGATGGCATGATGATGATATTTAAAAAAAAAAAACAATTTGCACTGCTAATTATCTTATCAAGATGTGTAAATAGGGTTTGTTATCAACACATCACAGCCTGCCTGTGACACATTTGTCAATTATTTGACTCAATTAGAGGAAAATGTTTTGATAAGGTACAATTTGGATTATCTATTATAAATAAAAGGTATAATGAGATCAAATCCAAATAAATAAATAGTGTGTGACAATTTTGTAACAACGCTGTTGCCAAAACGTCACACACTATATATTTATTTGAATTTTGTCTTGTTACTTTATGTGTTTCAAATTACTCTTTACCGTATTTAATTTCTCTGTCAACATAGTATATCTTACATTTTGGATAATACATTAAAAACATGGGTTAACAAGACCACATCCAAATAATGTGCGATGTTGTTATCAAAACAATGTATAATTATAAACAAGAAAATAATTTAATAGTGTGTGACGTTTCAGTAACAGCATTGTTACCATCATCAGACCATCAATAAAATCTTTTTTCCATTTTATTCTTTTGTCTGATGATGGTAACAATGCTGTTACTGAAATGTCGCACACTATTAAATTATTTGGATTGGGTCTTATTTTATTGTATCTATAATCCAAATTGTGCTTAATCAATGTATAATTACATATATGGAGCAAGGCTCTTTCACAATTAGGATTGAACTGGCGAAACTGCTGTGTGAAGGCAGGAGGCCCTTCCAAATATATAAATGTTTTCCACCATGGTAAGGGAGAGTAAGTTTTTAATCTATTAAAAGAAATAAAAGGTGACTATATCTAAATCAATAATCTGTGACGGTTTGATAATAACACTCATACAGTAGAACCTCCCTTTAGCGGACACCTCGCTAGCAGCCACCTCTCCACAAAGAACAGTTTTCATTTGCAAATTACCATTTTTATAATTTAGCAACTCTCCCGGTAAGAGGACACCTCTCCCTAAAGGACACTTTGGCTCTTCAATTAGGTGTTGTCCTTTACAGAGAGGTTCTACAGTATACTGGTTTATTTAGATTATATATTTTTTCACACATTGAAATCTATAATCCACAAATGGTATCATTCTATATACAGTTACGAGCGTCATGCGTGGCCTCTGTCATGGTTTGCTTTTTTTTGGAATGGCGCCCTCCTATTGGTCGGCTACGATCACGCCACCTTTGCCCCCCCCCCCCATTTCTGTAACTATTGTGTTGGAGCGGGTCGCTCCTTAAATAAATGCATATATTAGTTAATAACCAAATGGAATCCTCTCTTTCTTTTTCCCAGTAAGAGACGCCTACGGAAGCCAACAGTACATAGACAGATAAAGCACATAGGCTATAGTTATTAACTAATATATGCATTTATTAAAGGCGCCAATTTATAATTGTAACAAATAGTATTTGAATCAAAACATTCAGTCGGGTAAAACACGGGCGTTGTCATTCGGCTAGTCATGTATAAAAAGAAAGAGATGAACAAGCTCACCTGGATGATACCCAAGCTGATGCCAGTCCCCACGATGATAACCATGTGGTCTATGAGGAGTGAGGTGAGGGTCTCCGCACAGCCCTGGTTACCACCCACAGTCAGGACTGCTGATGTTGGAACAGGACGTGTGTGTGAGTGCACAAGATATGTGTGCAAGTTAAATATAAGATTTCTTTTAAATGTATGAAGAATATTTTAAAATGAATTCACTCAATTAATGCACAATATTGCTTGGTATAAGGTGAGTTTTTGTGCTAATGGTTTATCTATGGGTCTAATAATGATAACAAAAATAGGTCTTTATGTTTTGTACAAAAAGATCTTCATTACAACATACAGTAAAACCCCTCTAAAGTGAACCCCAATGGGACAGAGCTTTTGGTTCACTATAGCCACGGTTCACTATAGCCACGGTTTGGCTATTTTTTTTTACTTTTCAAAAATTTTAGACCGTATAATTAAAAAACAGCCATACACACAAGAAGAGGCTGCCTCTTAATAGTGGTCACTTTATTTTAATTCCCTTAATTGACTAATTTCCTTATATTAATACTGAATAATAATAGAAATCATTAGATAATAGGTTCTTCTTATGATTAACATACATGTACCTCTATGTCTAAGTTAAAAATCAAGACAAATCCTAGGCAAAGTTTTATTAAATATATATTCAAAGATATGAAATGATTTTAAAACATCATTATCACATATTATATAATACAATTTTTACTTGAAAAAATGGCTCTAATACCTTGTTGTTTCAAAGCATTCTTTCAAGCATTGCACCATTCAAATAAAGTTAGTGTTTTTCTTCCATTTCATGTTTCCCCTTATTCTTCTAGGTCTAGATTTCGTTTTTTTTTTTTTTTTTAACCTGCCATACAAAACATTGCTGACTTTAAAATCACCATAGTTAATGGCATAAAAATAATTTTTGTTTCATCACGGGACCGTTTATTTGGACTTTTTTTTTTTTTAGCCCTAAAACGTACGATCGCGGCAAAAGTTGAGGTTGATTCCTCTTTGTAACAATTTTTAATAACTTTATATTTTATCTTTTATAATAGAAAAGTTATATTCTCTTATTTTAATATGTTCTTAACATTTTGCCTATGTTGTTTCACTTTGAAAAGTTTTGAAAATGGCCTTTTTTTTTTTAAAGAAATAATGCTTTTGTTTTTAAAATGCCTTTGTTTTCTTCATTTTGGAAGCCATTTGCATTTTTTATATTTCAAATTTAATGGATGCAAAGATATTCTATTTAATAAAAAGTATAATGTGTAAAAATTTATACAACATACAGTAAAACAACAACAACAACAAAAAACTTTATTAGGGCATCCTGCCCTGTACGGATTCGTCATAGAGTTACAGACAATATTAAACATAAGAGAAATGGGGAAGATAGAGTATTTACAATTAAGGTATGGCAAACAGGGTGACTTTTTATTGTGCCCCTGTTCTTCTCTCTTCCACGAGTGCAATTTTATTTCCAACCGCTTTTTGATAGTTGAACAGTTCAATTGCCCAACTTTTCTTATCTGAAACAGTTTTTATTAGCTTTATTGAGTTCAAATGCGGTCTAGGAAGACTTTTCAGGATCTTTTTTCTCTCTCCTTCCAGATCCCCGCATTCAACAATAAAATGGTATATTTCATCAGTTATCTGACTTCCACATAACCCACAGTACAAATCTTCTTTCTTAATTGCGTAAATATGATTTTCTTTGATCATTGTTGACATTAATCTGATCTGTGCAATAAAACTCACTAAAGCTGAAGACAAATTGCATGAAAAATAATGTTCTGGAATGAATGAATCATAAAGTAACCTATAGTTTGAGTATGTTTTCGTAAGAGATAATTTTGCCAGATCTTGCTGCAATAGCTGTTCAATTTTTATTTTTAGTATATTCGGAAGTTCGATCTGTATGTCATCATAATTTAACCTATAGTTTAGCCATGTGAGTCCACAATGATTGATGATATCCATAATATTCTTACAAAATCCTATAGGTTTTTTTGTCATTAAGGAAATTTCCTTCAATCTATTCCAGCATAGCTTAGGTAGTCTATTGTCCTCCATTTTTTGTAATCTAATGAAATATTTCATAATTAATTTGATCGTTGTAAAAGTCAGAGATATTCTGCCTGTTTCCAGCCTTACAATATACCCTGGTATATATCTTGGTAGATTCAGAAAATTTTTGATAAACGTATTCTGTAATTGGTCTATAATATCCGTATTGTCCCAAGCCCACACAGGGGCCGCATAGAGTAGTATTGATTTAATTACTGAGTCAAATAGATTGAGTGCAACTTTTAATGAGTTAATTTTTTCTTTTTTTATCAGTCTAATAGTTGCATTTATTGCCGTATTTGCTTTGGCTTTATAAAAGAGGGCTACCTTCTTACTATTATTAGTGGAAGTGAATGGATATCCCAGATATGTAATATTGGACGCAACAGTCAGTGGGGTGTCGCCCCAGTGCCAGTTTTCATGTCTTGCCGGTCTTCCTCCATTTCTGAATACCATTATTTTGGACTTATTTTCATTTAAAACTAATTTGTTATTATCCAGGTAAGACTTTAGTAAATTAATTTTAATTTGTAAATTAATTTTCGATTCTCCAATTATGGCTATGTCATCCGCATACATAAGTAGGTGTAAAACACCAAAATCAGGGAGATGAAATCCTGTAAGTGCTGAGTTATTATAAAGTTCTAATAGGTCGGCCATATATAGTATAAATAAAAGTGGGGAAAGTGATTCTCCCTGCAACACTCCAGAATTAATTTTCACATTACTTGAATATTGTCCTTTCCATCGGATAGTAATCTTAGCTTCTTGGTAAAAGTTTTTTATCAGCATTACAAATTTATTGCTAATGCCCATTTTCTGCAATTTTTGCCAAAGTAAATCATGTGGGACTGTGTCAAAAGCTTTAGTCAGATCGACGAAGAAGACATATAGCTTGCCTCGTTTTCTTCTCAGAGATAGTTGGATGAGTGAATTCAGTAGTAGTATGTGGTCAGTGCATGATCGGTTCTTACGGAAACCTGCTTGGTTTTCTAAAATAATCTCTCTTTTTTCTATCCAGTTGTTTAATCTGTTTCTTAGTATTGTAGTAAATAATTTAGATATATTACTGCAGAGGGCAATCCCTCTATAATTTGTTGGGTTATTCTTATCACCGCTTTTATATATAGGGTGTACTATTGAGTTCGTCCAGAGTTGTGGGTATTTTTCTGTGGACATTATTTTGTTGAATAGGTTTTTCAGTTTAGTTAAAGTCGGTATCGGT